TTTTTTTAGAGTGCCCAGGGTGCTACAGCAATAAGGGAGAAGTGTTGATTCTAGCAGAAGCAGTGCGATCCAGTAGGTGCACACCACTGGATTCTGGTCAGATTTGTTTACAATGGTAAAGAGAGGAAATCTCATGGAAATCAGTGGGACTGATCTGAATAGGCACTGTGCTGTAAAACAGTGTTTCTCAGGCTATCCAGTGTTGGGGACCAGCAGTTTTCCAATGTACTAGAAACCATGGTCATCGTTGTTGCGCCTATTGGCTACAATTGTTTTTCTATTCTTTTCTGGAAACTCGCCAGAGGCTAGCACTACTCTAGGAAGCAGCATCAGTCCAGGGACCACCACTTTGAGTAGCAGTAGTAATAACAATATTGTATTATATATTATATTAATTTATTTATTACCTGCTTTTCCCTGTGGATTGAAGTGGGGAACAACAACAAATAACACAAAACCAATACATATTACCAGCTTTCAATAAATACTTTAATAATAGTATAATTCCTGTTAAGGACAGGCATAGCAATCCGACAGGTGAAGGAGATTCTATTTCTAACTACCACAATATGATGGAAGTGAAGTGTATGGTTCTGTTCTCCTTCTATCCCCACTCCTCTGCTTTCATTTGAAAAACATTTTATAAAACATTGGTTCGGGGGGAGGGGGGACGGAAGAAGTGTACCAACACTAGGTCCAATGTACTTTGCCCCTGTATTTGGGAGCATGTTGGCTGACACAACTCTGTGTCACACAGCAAAATGTTTTAGTAGCACTTGGCCTGTCAGCTATGAAGAGCCTCAAATGGGAGCCTGGTGCAGATGTGGGTTTTCAGTTCAGAAATGCTGTTGTCCCCATTTTTGCCGACTGAGTTTCATTTGTGAGTAATAGATTAATATGGTCAGTCATCTTATTCATATAATCTTATTTCAAACATGTGTAGCTTTGGATATTTGTAACAGATCTTTTAGTTTTAAACATCTGTACTTACAGATCTAGAAAAGTGTGCTGGCCAGTTGTACCAAATCCAAGATACAGCAGTGCTACACAGAATATGGAAAGAAACTTTCCATTGGTAAGCAAACCTTTTAATGCAATGGTACCCAAACTTTGGTCTGTCAGATGTTTTGGAGTTCCATTCCCAGAATTCCAATTGACCAAGCTCACTGTGGCTTCTGGGAATGGAAGTCTAAAACCTCTGGAGGACCAAAGTTTGGGTACCATATTTTAAAGCATTCAGTTCCTGTTTCCTGTTCTTTAAAAAAAAATTAGAAGCAACATAGCTATAATGCAACCAAACAAGAAGCCAGAAATCATCGGTACTTATTCCCCATGAAGTCGTCCATGGAAATGTAGTTAAAAATGCTGCTGTAACTGTACAAAGGATTGTGCTTGTTATTATATAACATTTGATAGTATAGACTCTTCTATTTTTTATGTATCTACCATAGTTTTGTGTTCCTTCAATTCACTTATGACTTATGGCTGATGGCGAACCTATGCCACGCGTGCCACAGACGGCATGCAAAGCCATTTTCCCCGACATGTGGAGGGCAGGGAGGGAGTGGAAGAGGCGTACTCCTATTTCTCCTCCTTCCCAGCCATGCCAGGCCTTCAACTGCCTCTCCAGAGGCAGCTGAAGGCTGGGAATGGCATGGGGGAGGAGGAAGTTGTATATGCCTGTTCCTCTTCTTCCCTTTGCCCCCCCCACCCCCCAGGCCTTCAGCTGTCTCTGGAAAAGTAGCTGAAGGCCCAAGAGGGTGGAGGGAAGAATTCCTACCTGGAAGTCCTGCTCCAGAAGGCGGAAGTCCCACCCCTGGCACCAGGTGCCGGAAGGCTTTTTAGTTTGGGCACTCAGCCCCTAAAAGGTTCGCCATCACTGCTCTAAGGCAACCCTATCAGAGGGGTTTCTTGGCAAGATTTGTTCAGAGGCATCATGCCCAATAGCCATGTATAGCAAATTCTGCTTATTCTATTCAAAAGGTCAATATAAAGCTTTTTATTTTTTTTTTCTTTTGAACCCTGAGTGTTA